TATTATTATAAATTATTTTAAATTATTATTATAAATTATTATTACTACCGACATACCTTGTTCACTGAGTTTAATCTTTTCTTAAGATGCCATGATGCCAATCACAGTAGGAGTCCCACAAGGAAGCATCCTTGGACCACTCCTCTTTCTCATCTACATCAATGATCTACCGAATGCATCACAGCTACTCAAGCCCATATTATTTGCAGATGACACTACATACGTCTTCTCTCGCCCAAAACCAGTCATACTGGCCAGCACTGTTAATGTCTAATTGCAGAAAATATCTACCTGGATAATGACTGCATAGCATTTGACTCAGGAAAAATCACGCTATTTTTGTTTTTTCCTTATGATAAGAATGCCATGATATGTAAACACCCTTTTCTTTCGTTATAGACCAGAGGTACAGACAAACATATCTATCTGATGATCTTATCCTGGAGTAACAGCCTCTGCCGCTTACCCCACTCATAATACGACATATATTATTCATTTTGGCATCTTTGTTACAGCTCTAGGGTATTTATTGTGTTTTTTGATATCAGTTTGGAATAAATGTGATAGATAACCTTTATTACTAATATTAGCATAATTACACAACATTTTATTAGCGCCACGGCTAATCTCCGCCTCTCATGACAACTGACCAGATACTGAATGCTCATGCTAGGTAAGGTTAGGTAAGGTTTGTCAGGAAACAGGACAAGTGTTTCCTGACACGGGTCTTAGTCAGATGATGACCTGCCTTTGGAGCTTTGGTCATCTGACCGAGGCCTTCCGCTGGCTTACCGGTCCACCCCTTTAAAAATTATGGTCAGTTATAATCATTTTAATTATCTGCGTAATGCTCCTGCTCTCTTATAGCTCCTTCCACTTTATAACGATGTAAGATGGTAAAATTAATGTATTAGAAAAATTAAAAAAAAAATAAAATAGGAAAAAAATTCTGAAAATTCACTACATGTTCAGATGTATGTTACTTGCTGCATCATAAAAATAATTTTTGTAAAATGACTATAATTCTTTGTAGAAACATGGTGCAAAGATGATACTTATACCAAAATGTTGCCAGATTCTTAGACTATTTTTCTTTAAGCTTAACTCATTGTATGTGTATTTTACTTTTTGATAAGAGTTATGCAAATTAAATTAAAAAAGAGTTATCAAGTTGGAATTTCATTTTTATTTTATTTTTTCTTTCTAATATATATATTTAATTCACCATTTGGCATGGTTACAAAGTGGGCAGAGCTATAGCAGAGGGAGAAACAGCAGTGTCTCAGTAACTCATGATTACCCATATAAAATATTGTATAACTATACTATTACTATCAATAAAGGTTATTTACCTATCATATTTATTCTAGAATAATATTAGGTATAACATAAATAATGTAGAAGCATGATGAAGATGCCCAATTTCATAAAAACTGACATTATATAGAGAGGTATTGAAGGGTGGGCAGTGGAGGGCAGGGAGGTATAAAAAAAAAAAGGTGACCATGACCATTATAGAAAACATTATACGCTATGCGCCTGAAGGGTAACTTTCGGTAAGTGAGGAGAGGCTGTATAGACATTTCCATTACATACAAGCAGGCCCTGCTTATACAGCAGGTTAGGCTCTGGGCTAATGCTGTAAAGTGAAACTTAGCCTTTTTTCATTTTCAAATCTATATAAATGCCTGATAATATGTTTACACTATCATATATTAAGTGAGCAATAGAGCTAGACCTAAAAAATGCATATACAGTACATATGTATATTACTTATCTTAAAATATTTTTGTCTTTAGCTAATAGTGAATGGTGAGTATATTTATTATAGGAAGTCTGAATAAATGAAGAAAACTTCTGCATTAGCGAAATACTGTAAAACAAGCAGTGTAGGGCTCTGGTGGCCTGGTGGTTAACGCTCTCGCTTCACACGGTGAGGGTCTGGGTTCGATTCCCAGCCAGAGTAGAAACATTGGACGTGTTTCTTTCCACCTGTTGTCTATGTTCCCCATCAGTAAAATGGGTACCTGGGTGTTAGTCGACTGGTGTGGGTCGCATCCTGGGACACTGACCTAAGGAGGCCTGGTCACAGACCGGGCCGCGGGGGCGTTGACCCCCGGAACTCTCTCCAGATAAACTCCAGTGTAAAGTGGGGTCCGCCTGTACATTCAAATCATATATACAACCCTAGTAAAGTCATTCACTGTGACTTTTTTCCATGTTTTGAGGAATAATACACTCTGAAACACTTGCAGTGTTATAGGTACAGGTCAGCCATCACTAATCTGGCAATCAGTAATCCGGTTCCATCAGTAATCCGGCACTAATTTTGGCTAGCATAATTTCAAATTTCCAGTGTTGCCACACCAACCTGCCACTACTGTTTGGTGGCACTACTTGCTTCGTAAGTCATTCCAGTTTCTTTTTCTCCATTTATTGTTATAACCTCCTTACTTTTAGCCCTAGCTATGGTTCCAATGAATAAAAGAAATACTTCTCATTGCGTAAAGCACATACACTGCACATTGTCCATAAAAGATAAGATGGCTTTGAAGCCACTGATGGTTGCCATGAGCTCAGCTCACTCAGATGAGCTGTTCTCGGTAAATTTGGGCCTACATATAAGAGAATAGATCTATGTGGTATGTGTGCACTATATAGAAAAAGCCCTGCAGTACATAATGAGGAAAAAACTGCAACTGTGGTGGAAAACAGCGGCTCTGCTGTGTATTTTCGTATAGTTTTTATGGTTGTTTTCTCGTTTTTTTTGGTCTCAGTTGAAAGAATGGAAGATACATTACAGAAATATGATTTTGATTGGTTTCACAACAAAAAGTACCTTGAAATTGAGCTCAAAGTAGCAGAAATATTAAATTTTTGCTGATGTTCAGGAGTAAACAAATGACATCACCATCCAATATGTGTCCAACTGGCCAGTCTATTACACAGTCACAAATGGGTTGACATTATACAATAATTACAATAATGCAGTAATCCGCATAACAGTAAATTTTCTATTTTTTGTGTGAACAAAAATTCAAAATGTAAAGCAAGAGTAATATAAGAGGGGTCTGGAGATGTGACTAATGAACAGAGAAAATGTTATTTTAGTGAGAGGAATGTTTGCATTGCTTATTCTGGACCCTATTTTGAAATTAGCATCTTTTGAAATTTGTGTGAAATTGGCCAAATTGCCGATTTCTGACCACTTTATTGGGTAGTTGAAATAGATGAATGGGTGGTTTCTTGTACTCATTCAACAGAATGGAAGGAATACTAGTGAAATAGCTGTAAGTTTGGTAGACTGGAACAATGGAATGGGCCAAAAATAGGACGTAAATTGGGTGAAATTGCATAAATATCATCGTTGGGTTAAGTGTATTCTAGCCTAACCACTCTGTAATTCGGCGAAATCACTAATCTGGTACCCTACAGGTCCCGATGATACCGGATTAGTGATGGCCAACCTGTATTCCTTGTACATAACCCTAAAAGATCAAAACAGTAAAAATAAATAAATAAATAAATAAATAAATAAATAATTATGACGCATTTATACCATATATTCCAAGTGGAGCATTGTCGACCTAAGTATTTTACCGTGTTTTTAAAACACATCTAATATCATAAGAAACTAGTGTACATAGTACTCACCTGGCCCTGCCTCTTCACTGGTCGCTACTGGGTACTCTCTCTCCCTGCTCCATGAGCTTTATTGTACTTCGTCTTAAAACTATGTATGGTTCCTGCCTCCACTACATCACTTGCCAGACTATTCCACTTCCTGACAACTCTATGACTGAAGAAATACTCCCTTACATCCCATTGACTCATCTGAGTCTTCAACTTCCACTTGTGACCCCTTGTTTCTGTGTCCCCACTCTGGAACATCCTCTCTCTGTCCACTTTATATATTCCTCACAGTATTTTGTATGTCATTATCATGTCTCCACTAACCTTCCTGTCCTCCAGTGTTAACCATTAAGATCAATTAAAAAAAAAACAGAAAAACAATTATATCTTGGTGTCAGTAAATTGTAAAATGGAAATATTGTTGGCACTTTTATGCCACTGTTGTCAATGAGTGAGCATTTTTCACCAAATTCAACATGCCATAAAATCGTGAGCTTTAATCAGATTTCATTCGTTTTAGTTTTATTCAGTTCAGAAAAGCAAACTGTATGAAACTAAGTTTTTTTTTATTTTTCAGAATCTTCCCACAGAAACAGGAAATTTTTTCAGGATATCCCACAGTTAACCCTTAAACTGTCCAAATGTAGATCTATGTTCATGTGCAGGGGGCTCCAAACATAGATCTATGTTTTTTTTACATGCTCTCAAATGGGGAAATTAAAGGTCGGAGTGCTACGCACGTGAACATAGATCTACGTTTGGACAGTTTAAGGGTTAAAGGTTAAACATTCAATTAACATGTTTCAGAATCTCCTTTATATTTCTCTTACATTTAGGTGCATATATATACTTATCATTACACATTTTCATTTTTAACTGTTTCATATCTAGTACAGTGGACCCCCGCATAACGATTACCTCCAAATGCGACCAATTATGTAAGTGTATTTATGTAAGTGCGTTTGTACGTGTATGTTTGGGGGTCTGAAATGGACTAATCTACTTCACAATATTTCTTATGGGAACAAATTCGGTCAGTACTGGCACCTGAACATACTTCTGGAGTGAAAAAATATCGTTAACCGGGGATCCACTGTATATTAAAACATTATTTCTTCTCGTACTTGATCTTGCAGCAGATCAGCTGACTTTAAATCTCTCAATTACTTCTGACATTTCATCTATAATTCTTCAGAATTAGAAATGTAACTTTTTTAACTTTATTTTTCTCACTGTTTGGCCATCCAGTAGCCTTTCATTCATAACACCTCTGCTATAATATTTTCTTTGAATATATAATGTACAGTATACACTTGCTGTAGTGTATCATCATACAGTATGGCATACATATTTTTTTTCTTCCTCAGGAAAGAGGATAAATTACGGCACGTTGGAACAATGGAAATTCCAAGGAAAAGAACTCTTCTTTCATCTCTCAAGTCTGATCTGATGGACAGAGCCATGGAGCCAGTCCAACATACACAATTACAGCCAGTAAGAAATGAAATAAGTAAGCCTCACTCTAAAACTACTGTTACTGGGATTCCAACAAAGACCAGGTTACATTGCAACCATTTGAAACCTAAGTGTCATTGTTTGCTCTCTGCTAATAAGAGGGTGAGCAGAGCAGGACAAAAATCTTTGGCATCTGGCACATCACGGAGAATATTGATTTCAACTCGTTCAGTACCAAGAGGGGAGCTGAATGGCTGGAAAAATTATAAAAAAACCTGTGACTCTCTCTCTATCCTTGATACAAATTGGAGACCTGGTTTGGATGCATACTCTAAAGAGACTCGAGAGGAAACACAAAATAATGGTAATCAAAATTTGCTCTCAGACATCAACAAAATAGGTGACAAAAGTAATAAAGGGAACAAGGAGAATTCCAAGAAAAAAGTTCACTTTGCTGAAAAAAACAGGAAACACAGTGGCTCAAGGAACCATAAATTTCACCACAAGAAACATATAAATACTCCGGGAGAAACTAACATCATTGAAGATCATGGTCAAAACAGCAGTGATCATCCAAAGTCTTCATTAAAAAACTACTTAGGCCCCATGAACAACTATAACAACAATAGGGACTCATCTGAAACATCATCTACCCCTGAACATTTGCCACACACTGCCAGTACTTTACATGATAATGATAACACAGCCCCATTTAGTGAGGAAAGAAGAGGTGGAGAAGAATATTGCAGACTTTGTCAATGTCCAAGGTATCATTATCCTCAGACTAATGTATTTGACAGAATGAAGTACAGTTCAGGTGAACATTATGATAAAGACTGTTTATCAGATCCCATACAGTATTCATCAAAATATGAAAATGAAGACCCTTGTTTGTTGTGTAGTAGGTATGGAAAGCAACCTTACATATGTGATGATAAAGACTGTTGTGAGTTAGGTGAGAGGCATTACATCAATTTTCATATGCCATCTCATTTAAAGGACACTACAAAAACATCACATTTTGATAAAACTAGAAATCTTTCACAGAAGTTGTCATCATCAATGCAACATTCTAACTATGAAAGTCATCTATTTACTGAAACGATTCCCTATGAGCCAAGGACAGAACTGGTGAAAAACTTGAAGCAAAGGTTGGAGTTGGAAGAGGATTATAGAAAGGATAAAGACTTGGTAAGTTAATAAGTAACATTGTACAATTAGGAAAGAATACTGTGCATAGAAAGTACAATATGGGGTCATCTAGTACGTATTGTTATAATACTCATTTAATGTCAAATATAGTAGACTTACAATTTGCATGGGTTGCATTCCTGAAAATCAGCATTATATGTATGTGAAATCATGATATATGGATAAAGAACATATGGGAAAAATAGGGTTACATTCTTGACATCAAAAAAAGTAAAACTTTTTTTTTTTTTTTAAATTCACTGAAATATAATAATAAGATTTCTTACCTTTCATTGTAATTGTCGTTGCTTATTGATCTGGAAATGTGTGAAGAGGGTTGCTATGACACTTCTATGCCTGTCTGGATGTAGTAAGGTTTGTACAGTCAAGGTGGATGGCTGTGTTTCTTATGGTGACATGGATGGTGGAGTTCTCAGTAGTTGAAGGTTGTATTGGAGTGCTCGTGTATTCTATAATGTGTGTGTTTTTGTGAGGGAAAAGTTCAACAGATAGGAGTATCGAGCGAGTATATGGTAATGATAGTTTGATTGCTGGCTGCTTGTTAAGGTAGGGTCAGTCTAGCTCCCGCTATCCCCCCCCCCCTTTTTCCCCCACCTCGAAAGGTGACGTGTAGGGCTCCGGCCAAACAGTAATCACTCGACTCACAGTTCCCAGCACAACTGTAAGTAAAAGCCTCTGCTCCTATTCTAGTGGATATTGGTTGAAAGCTTCACTTTTGACCAATAATATACTTAGTCCTTTCAGTTTTAAGCTCCACATGAGACTTTTAGATAATCACCACCTTTTTTAAGTATCTTGCACTTATCATGGAGAGTGATTTCTTAAGCAGTGGGTAACCTGTCTCTCTTTCCAGCTTGGAATGACAGATCGGGTCACCTGCCAACCAACGAGAAGTGTTGAAGGAGACGGACTGAAACCGGTCTTGGGACATCACTTCATGATCTACCTACCTGATTAATTGTACAGGACACTACCCCTCATCTTTGCAGTGGTAAAGAACCTGCGTTCCTGTCATCTGGACTGACTATTCAAGTCTATAGACTCTGTGAAGAACTAGTCGTTGGGTTGTCACTAAAGACCTGTGACCCCCCTCCCCCACATCAGCAACGGCTACAATTTCTACAAGACGGTGTCAACCTCAACCAGACACCCCAGTATCACTATGTATTAGCGTTGAATTCAAATGTCATTTTTCCATTTCATTTTTCATTTTTCTTTCAAGTAGGATACACCTTCATATTTCAATGTTTTATCTTTGCATTAATAAATAATAAAGTGTTTATCTTTGTGAATTATTATTTCTTTTTCTATTCATTAATTTTCCTGAGGAGGAGCCAGCCTTGGTAATACTGTCTGAAGTTGTTACAGGGCTGAGTAAGCCTTCACAGTTTTGCTTTACACTGCAGTACTCTATGCAGCTGAAGATAATTTTGTCCCGTAGCTCAATCGCTAGTGCACTCAGCTCACACACTGAGATCCAGGGATCGATCCCCAGTACTGGTGGAAACATTAAGACATGTTTCCCTGAGACACCTGCTGTCCACGTGCACCTATCAGTAAAATACTACCTGGGTGTTAGTCGACTGCTTTGGGCCGCATCCTGGGACAAAATTGACCTAATTAGCCCAAAATGCTCTGCATAACAAGGGGCTTTCTATAGAGTAGTATGTCATTGATGTCAGCTAGTCCTGTATACCTTGTACATGTACAGCCTCTCCTCACTTAGCGACATACTTGTTTACCAACAACTCAGACTTAAAACAGGCTCTCTGACCAGTATGCATACCTAAATAATGTATATTAGAGCTGGTTTCCTCTGTTCTGTTTATTACAGTACACAGTACACTACTGTATAAACATTTAAAAATATAGTAAAAATGTTATAAATGGTGCAACAGTGACATTAAAACAGTATGCTCCTTGCTTAGCGATGAATTCGTTTACCGACGTGATCTTAGGAACAGAACTCCATCGTTAAGTGAGGAGCTGCTGTACATGTATGTGTACTTGTATTTGAAAAAGGCTGCAACTTTGCCAGTAGTATACAAGATCTCATGTATCTCTTGAAGTGTCAGCTGTTAAAGTAGAGGTTCTTCTGTCTCATCTTTGTTATCTGCCTCCATTCTAACTGGGAACTGAGCTCCCACATTTCTTCTCATTTGTTTTTCATTGCCATGTCTAACACTTATTTATGTCTTCTCTCTGCATATCTTCAAGCACTTGCCTGACTCTTTCTTTGCCAGATTCAGAATTTCCTGGACCTGTCTCTGCTGATAAAAAACCTGTGAAGTCGTTCATGAGACTAGGCCATAATCTTCTCCAGCCTGCATTTGTTTTTTGGGCACTTTATCCCATGACAGTGTTGTGGATTAATTGATTTACAATATTTAGTTAACTCTAGAATCCTGGCACTCCATTATCTGTATTGTCATCCATTGCTGCATTGAATTTCTACTGACTTTGTATGTCAAATGGCAGTTAAGTTTCTTAATCACTCATCAGTCCAGTGGTTGTATCAAAGGTGTCATTTTTGCAGTGGAACCTTGGCACTCAAACATAATTTGTTCCAGAAGGCTGTTTGAGTGCCAATCTGCCAGGTACCAAAAGAATTTATCCCAACCAATTTTCTTTTCGGTTATCACTAACCCTTTTAGCCCCATGGTAACTTATTTAAACAAATACACGTAATATGAAAAAACACCAAAAAATGTGAAGAAACACGAAATAGTTTACATCAGATTTCTGGCAGGTCGTGTTTGTTTGGTTGAGTGTCGAGCAAATGGTCGACTACTGAGCAATTTGTTTACTGAACAAAGCATTCAAATACCAAATTGTTCGAGTGCAGAACTGTTCGAGTACTGAGGTTCCACTGTATTGGTAAACACAACCTTTACATTTGGGTCTATGACTGCAAGACTTGACGATGGTTACAGGAATTATCAAGAGTGAGGAGAATCTTCAATGAATTGTTCTTTCTGGCCAGATGCAATTTTGCTGCAAGAAGATAATAATGCTTGAACCACTCAGGAAACAGGACCTTACTCATTCATATTAAATTGTTAGAATGGCAAATAACAGACAAAGTGGTTCTTGTCTTTACCTTTTCAACCATGGGAATTCTGTGAGCGATAAATAAGCATAGGCTTGCATTTGAAATCACTTGATACATAATTGTGCAGAAGCAAGCTCAAGCAATCTTTCACTTCCTTGAATCCAGGTACACTTCTCTCTTGTTTGCCAGTGTACTGTAAGTTCTAGACAGCATCCTCCAAAATAATCCTGCCTCATCAGCTATAAACACTTGCTCTCTGGTTTGTAGCCATCCTCAGAAATAATACAGTGGAACCTCTACTTGCGAGTTTAATCCATTCCATGACCTTGCTGGCAACTGGATTTGCTCATTTGCAGAATCAATTTTCCTCATTTAAATTAATTGAAATGCAATTAATTCGTTCCAGTGGAATACCGTACTTCAATAATTTCACTAATATCAACGCTACAGCTTATTTATCTATCAAAGTTCATCTAATATGACATAACAAACAATATAAATAACATAGAAACCTGAATAAAGTATGTCATTATACAGTGGACCCCCGCATAACGATTACCTCCGAATGCGACCAATTATGTAAGTGTATTTATGTAAGTGCATTTGTACGTGTATGTTTGGGGGTCTGAAATGGACTAATCTACTTCACAATATTCCTTATGGGAACAAATTCGGTCAGTACTGGCACCTGAACATACTTCTGGAGTGAAAAAATATCGTTAACCGGGGGTCCACTGTATATGTGGCAGTGGCAGCAGCCGACGAGAGTTTGTCTGGAGACGGGACAAAATACTCCTTGAATATTTCGCTATCATCAACTCTATGGCTTATTTATCTATCACAGTTCATCTAATATGAAATAATAAACAATATAAATAACATAGAAACCTGATATATACTCCAGAATGCATAAAATATGTCATTATGTAACAGGTGGAAGCGGCCACAACCGCTCCCTCTTTGTTGTGGTAAACACTGCCATCTAGTGATGACCTTTTGAAGTCGTCTATTATTATAACTATTATTATGTAGTACATTATTATTATAATAATAATGTACTACATTACTATGTAGTACATTAATATTATAATACATATAATAATAATAATACATATATATGTATTATTATATATATTATATTATTATTATTATTATTATTATTATTATTATTATTATTATTATTATTGTATTTTACTGTATTATTATACTATGATTATTATATGTATTATTATTATTATTATACATATGATTATTATTATTATTATTATTATTATTATTACTACGTTAAGAAGCATCTTTCCATCATACATTGCCCAACTTTCAATAAGACAGTCCAACAAACAAATGAGATACAATTCCCTAGATCAAGAGCAAGAGCCCCTCACCTTGAGGTCTGCTCACTTATGGAAATTTTGCTCGCGTATGGAAGCAAAAAATTGACCCATCGACTGCTTGTATTTGAAAAAAACTCGCACGTGGGTGCACTTGCAAGTAGAGGTTCCACTGTATTTTCCAATTCAGCAGGGAAACTTGCTGCAGCCATGTGGCCAACAGACGTCTTTCCCCAGTAAACTTTATATTATGTAGATAAATATGCACTTTAACCCTTTTGTTGTCCATCACATAGATCTATGCCATTGAGGCCAGGGTCCCTGACATAGTTTTGCGTCATGAGCTCAGCTCACTGAGATAGACTGTGAGCAGTAAATTTTGGCATAGATATGAGAGTATGGATTTGTGCAGTAAGAGTGCACCATATAAAAAAAATCCTGCCCCACGCAGTGCATGATGAGAAACAAAATTGTGCGTATGGCTTCAAATAGCGAATTAGAGGTGTGTTCTCGGATGGTTTATAAAGTTATATTGGCTGTTTCTTGTTATCATTTGATAAAATGGCAGACATATTACCAAGCTAGAGATAATTTTG